CGCCGCCGTCAGTCCTGCGCATTTGTCGGCATCCTCCTGACCAACTGCGCTCCACGAGCCTCGTCGCCCAGAGCTTGTGCGAAGCGGGATCGAAAATCGTGATAGAGTATAGCGCAGTCCAGGGACGTTGATCATCAAATAGACCGGCGAGGTGAAGTGCCAGTCTGCTTGACTCCGGCGCTACTGAAGCGCAGCCGACTGATTCCGTCCTTGTCGCACTTATGGGGCAGCTCTCCCTGAGCGCTCTTCGGAATCGGTCTGCAGGACGTCGCGGAGCGGCAGGGTGAGTCGAACAGAGGGTCGCCTGCGGCTTGGCAGAGTTCAGGGGCCTGTCCAGATAGCGACGGCTGTAGGGCGCTCTGGAGACTCGGGTGTGAGACAGTCTCACACCAAATGGTGTGAAACCCTCTGTGCCTCACACCATTTGGTATGAGGAAGTATCACTCCATTTGCTGTGAGGCACAACGAGTCTCACACCATTTGGTGTGAGATATGTTTGCCTCACACCGTTTAGTGTGAGACTGTCTCACAACCTCGTGAGACAGACTCACAACCTCGTGAGTTTCCAGAGCGTAGGCTAAAGCTGTAGGTTATAGCCTCAAGCGGGCTCCCATTTCGGCCGTCGCTATCTGGACAGGCCCGCCCCAGTACCTACCCGATGCAACGCGAGCCGCGAGGTACAAGAATTTATTTGCCAGCAGGGCCTGCGGGGGCGGCTGGGTGGCCCCACGACACCTGGAGAATGGAGGGGGACCGGGAGAGGGAGGTGACCTGCATGAAGGCGGACGGCAACTGCTACTTCTACGCCGTCACCGCCACGGGCGGGGTCCAGGACGACGTGGCAGCGGAGGCCGGCGGCCCGAGCGGCCTCCGACACGCGGCCGAGCTGCGGCGGCAGGCGGCCGAGTACATCAGGGCCAACCCCGACGTGTTCGAGGCGGTGTCACTCGCGGCCGCGGCGGATGACCCCGGCGGGTACGCCCGCTACACGGAGGCGGCACCGGGCGGGGGCGTGCGGCTCGCGGACAGCCGAGGGGCGGCCGGCCGCCTCGCCTCGTGGCTGCAGAGGGACTCGGTCGAAGAGGCGCCGGCCGCGGCCCGCCGGGCCCGCACGGCGGTGTACTTCTCCTTCGAAGCGCAGCGAGGGCCCGACGCACCACCCGATGCGCAGCAGGACGCCCCGGTCGGAGAAGTTTACGGGGTGAGCTTGGTTACGGTTTGGCAGGACGGGGTGCGAAAGCTACACCACGGCTCCGTGGGGGCAGCGAGCCTGCCCGGCGCGCTGCTGGCCTTGATGGGGACGGGGGACATGGAGTTTTTTCTGTTCCTGGCCGGCAGTTTGGGGCGCTCATTTGGCAAGCGTGCTATGGAGGACGGCCTGGACGAGGCCTGGCGCACGGCCCGCGCGCTCAACCTGCCGCTGAGCGCGGACATGGAGCGGTGTGTTGTATTCAACCTCGTCATGCTCCGCTACGTCCTGTCCCGGGAGTACCCGACGAGCGATGTGCCGCCGGCCGCCGACGCCCACGAGCGATGGCACGAGCTGTGGGGCCGGGTGGCCCTGCTGCTGGAGTACTCGCGGCGCCTCCAGGACGAGCTGGAGCGGCTCCAGTGCGATGACGGGGTGCCGGGCTGCGCGGACCTCAGCGTGATGTTGGTCAGGCTGTGCACCCTGGCCCTGCGCAACGCCAAGCGGTCCTTCGCGGCCACTTACAAGGAAGTGCCGTGGGAGGAGATGGAGTACCTCCTCGTGATGTTCATCAAGGGGCGCACAGTGCTAGTAACCCTGGCCCACTGGGTGGCCAGCGTCCGGAGCACTGCGGCCCACCTGCGGTGCTTCAGGGATCGAGTGGAGACGTACGTGGTGGTGCACCGCGCCGAGCCCAACCCGGAGGTGGCCATGAAGAGGCTGCAGAAGGAGCCTAGGAAGGAGAGGGCTGTCATCCTCGCCGGGGTGGTGGACGGCGCCCTCACAGACCTCAGAAAGGACTTTGCGCTGCTCATGGACTGGCAGTCCCTTATGGAGATCACCGAGACCCTGGGCATCGCCAGCGAGGTTCTCGACATACTGGAGGACGCCGACTGGGCAGCTTGGGGCTGGCTGGCCCTGCGCTGGGCGCTGTTCGTGGTTGGGGAGAGGGTGAAGTACTCCTGGACTTCACCGAACCTGTCCCCCCGCTGGGCCGGTCTCATAGAAGCGCTGGCGCCTGGCGGCGTTCTGAAGATAATGTCCACCATCCGGGACGACCAGGAGCACGGGAAGGACGGCTCTAACGCCAAGACACTGGTCTTGTCGGAAATTAAGAAATCAGAGCGCGCAAAGCTGAGAGAGGAGTTGCTAAAACTGGCAAACGCAGCTCGAGCGGCTCTTGAGGCAGCAGTCAGTGAGGTGGAGTGCAGTGACGACAATGACTGGGATGGGCAGGAGAGAGTGACGGTAACCAAGAGAGACAGCGAGGGTAGGAAAGACTTAATTGGCGAAGAGCTTCTCAAAATACTGGAACCGGCAAAACATAAAGCGGAAGGGGCTTTTGAAGCAATACGTGCGTTGGCCCATCGCGAAATTGAACCACACTTAAGAGCAGCATGTATAGTAGATAAGTTTTTGTCATTTGCCCGTGAGCACATTCCGGAGGCTGCGCCGCGGGTCCGCCGCCTACTCCTGAACAAGAGCGCGGAGAACATCGAGAGCTTCCATGCTGTGCTTCGCGAAGTCACTCCGCCATCTGTGAGCAGTCCGCTGGAGACTCTGCGGCGCGCGCTCACGGCCGTGGACGCTGCTCCCGAGGGGCAGCTCCGTGACTTCGCTTTCTGCGGAGCTCTGCGGGAGCTCGCATCCCGCTGGCACGAGGACGACCAGGTGGTGCCCACGGCCGTGCCCTTCTCCCCCGCCCTGTTTGGACGCCAGCTTCGGAACTACCTCAACCACCTCGATGAGGGGTTATTCGTTTGCTCGCCTCAAGAGATACCGGTTCTGTACAATCTGCTTCAACGAAAATACATACCGCTGGAGCAAGGCGCCAGGCCACGGCTGCGAGACCCATGGTGGTCCCGGGCTGAGAACGAGAGGCTGCGCCGCCTCGTGGAGCTAAAGAGCGACATGTTCCGATACGCGAGGGAGGGCGAGCTGGGCGAGCTGCAGCGCCTGGTGGAGAACGGCGCCTACTTGAGCGTCAGGGACTGCCAGGACCGCACCCTGCTGCACGCCGCGGCCCAGGGCGGCCAGGTCCACGTGGTGGAGTGGCTGCTGGGGCTGGGCGCGGAGGTCGTGGACCCGCTCGCCAAGGACTGGCGTGGATACACAGCACTCTATGATGCTGGCACCACGGCCGTGGCAGAGGCGCTGCTTAACGCTGGGCCAGGTGAGTGCTCTTCTACATAGATAAAATGCAAATTTACGTTACAGATCTACAAAATCTATGTTACAGTGCACCAGAATGGCATCTTCACGCCTCTCCATCATGCTGCATGGTGTGGTCGCGCCGAGGTGGTGGCCGTGCTCCTTAAGGGCTCCCGTGATCTGGATGCGGAGGACAACGAGAGGCGGACACCCTTGCACTGGGCTGCCCTTCACGGCCACGACCAGGTGGTGCGTCTGCTCCTGGAGGCCGGTGCGCGCTGCCAGGCTGACGTTCATGGTCATACACCCCTCGTTTTTGCTGCTTTCTCCGGCAGCGCCCCCACGGTGCGGTTGCTGCTCGGTGCCACCCCGCCGCCCGCTGACGAGGACTGCTGGAGGGCTGCTATGCTGACCGCTTGGTTCGCCAGCGAGGAGGCCTGCTTCGCTCTGCTGGACGAGCTCGAGGCGCGTGGGCTGCTCCAGTGGGGCCCGGCCGCGCGTGAGGCCCTGCTCCAGACGGGATTCGGAGGGAGTAGCGCCATCGCGCTGAGGCTGCTGGGTCTCTCTCCTGACGCCCTTCGCGAGGGCCTGATGAGTGACACCGGGGCAGCAGTCTTACAGGCCGCTGCCTTTGTTGGGCGCGCTGATCTTGTGCGCACGCTTCTCCGCTGTGGGGCGGACCCGCTGTGCAAGGATGCTGGGGGCGTGACCGCACTAGCCACTGCAGCAGTAGGAGCATCTGGAGTGGGTGGCGTACCGGACACCGTCACTGCACTAGTGGAGCGCATCCCGCGCGGCGATCTGCAGGCGGCCCTCGCACAGGCGCTGTGTTCGGCCGCAAAGTTCGGTCGGCTCGGGACGGTGCAGCGGCTCGTCCACCACGGCGCGGACGTTAACGCGGAGGGCGGGACACCCTTGGGCTGGGCTGCTAGATCGGGTCACACCGAGGTGGTGCGGTGGTTGCTGCAGCGGGGGGCTGACCCGTGCCTGGGCCGCCTGGGCGCGCCTCTGCACATGGCTGCAGCACACGGACGGCTGGGCGTGGTCAAGGTACTCGTGCCGCCGCTGCACGGGGGCGAGGAGGGTCAGGGCGAGCCTGGCAGCGAGGAGCCGTCAGCGCTGCGCGTGGCGGTGCAGGACGGCTCGCGGGAGGATGTGGAGCGGATCTTGAGACGGTTCGTGGAGCACCTTAGACCCCTCTCCAGCAGGTACACGAAGGAGGACAGGCTCCGTGACAAGGCTGAGGCAACGGCGGCGCTGAGGAGGAAGGAGAAGGAGGATGACGAGCGCCTGCGCCTGCTGCAGCAGCTGGACAGTGATGGCCAGACGGCCCTGCACTGTGCGTCAGCAGTGAGTGCGCTCCCCGTCGTCGAGTACCTGCTGGACAGGGAGGGGGAGCTCCTGCGCCCGGTCTACTCCAAGCACAAGAACATCGGCGTGCCGCGGCTGGACGGCCTCAGCGTGTACTCGCGGGACGCTGGCGGGGGCACCGCCCTGGAGGGGGGCGTTCTGGGGCTCTGCGCGCCGAGCGTGGCCGAGGCCCTGCTCAAGCGGATGGGGGACACGATGTGGATGGCCCTGGGCCACAAGGACCTGCAGGAGGTGCGCAGCATGGCAGAGGAGGCCCTGGAGCACGCCACACTAAGGCCCGACAGCGGCCGCCTAGTCCGCGCGCTCTGCGGGTGGCTCAGCCGCAGCGGAGAGGGCCTGCTGAGCGGGAAGGGGGAGGAGGGGCTGCAGGACATGCGGCGCTGCGTCCTGGCACGAGCGAGGTGGCGCCGCGCACTGCGGCGGGTGCAGAGGCGGGCGGCTACGCCGATGGACCAGGAGGACCAGCGGCTTGCTGTCGTGATGTCGATGTTCGCCTACCTGGAGGCGGGCGCGCGCGGCGAGACGGCGGTGCAGCTGCTGAGCCAGTGGCTGTGCGACCTGAGCGAGGACGACGTGGGCGAGAGCAAGGTGCTGGAGATCAGCGAGGCAGTGGATGTACTCCGTCAATTCAAATGAGTATATTGTATACTTTAAATAAAGCGTACATGGCATGTATAATTTAACAAGGTAGACGCACGTTAAAACCGTGTGAAGCTGAGCTAAATGTGCGGATACCTTGGCCTGCGGCGCGCTAAAATTAAAATGTTTTCGCGATTTTGGTTGGCCTGCCTGTCCACCTCACATCCCACGTCTCACGCCAGGCGCCTCACTTCACGCCGTCTTCCGGGCGGTCTCCCCTTGCGCTTCCTGACAGAGCTGAGCATTTAAAGTTAAAGTTTAATTTCAAGTTCAAGTTAAGCTCAGCAATTAATGTGTACAAGGCATGCATGCCTTTCCAAATGCGAACATGGGCATACATTAATTAAAGTATACATGCCACGTAAGTAGACAATGCACACATTTGAATCGACAGAGTAGTTATGAGGAGTTGCGACAGCCTGGGGGTGGGCCCGCGGGGCGGGCTGGCGCTTCTCTGTGCACACAGTGACTGCCCGACCTGAGCGGCGAGAGTGTGCTGGACACCGCTCAGAGAGGGCTGACGAGCCGCGAGTGTGGGGATTTTGCGCATGTTTCAAAGTGTGGGCAGTGACTGTGTTTTGGTTTAGTCGTTATCTGGCCTCAGTGTCAAGGGCTTTCGTACTCGAGTGTGTGTGTGGGAAAGAGAGATAGAGCGAGAGAGAGAGATGTAAATATGTAAATGTAAATAGTGTTTGACGCTGATCAAGAAAATTAATAGTTTTGATGGCAATGAAAAGGGTGAGGGCCCCTGGTCTTATTCGGTTTCCTAGTCGTTCTCTTTTATTTTGTAACTAGTAATTACTCGCAAGAAGGGAACTTGCAGCACTCACTCAGTAGGGCTGCCGCCCGCGGAGCGCCTCACAGGTAGGCCGTCCCGTTGGACGCGCGAGCCCCGCGGGCTTGCCTGTCCCCCTTCCTCAGGCGCCAGGCCGGGCGGGGAGACCCAGCAGAGAACTAGCGCCCGTACGTCTAAGATAAAAGATGTTTCACTTCGGGATTAAATCCAAGGTGCAGCCTGAAAGGCGTTTGAGAAACCATCAAGCGCCTCAAGTATGAATCGTCTGGAATAGTTTCAAGGACAAGGGTTGTTCACTCACAATAAAAAGCTCTTTTCTAAAATTGTTTTATTATTTACTATTTACAAACTTCACCATGTCAGTTCAAATATACATAAATTTTCATAACTATCCATAAAAAGTAAACAGGAAACATGATGTACCAATACGTGTATAAATAATTTTGACATTGATTTCATGAGATACCCTAGACTTAATTGTAACCGCTCCTCATTTGAAATAAGAAAAAATCTGGGCAAGACCTCCAAGTCTTGCTTTCTGCAAATTCATCACAAATTTATTAAGGATGTAGAAAATATTGTACAAAATTACAAATATTAAATGATAAATACCATTCTACTAAAGCACTTGAGAATGTTTTGAATTAAAAGAGAATGTAACTGCGATGAATACATGAACTTAATCTGATGACAAATTTCTTTGGAGAGATGAAAGGCTACACTGGAATCAGTGGGGCAATAAAATGATGCTTGAGGATTACGTGGTAACATATTTTTGACTTTGAGAGGCACTATCACTATATGCTTCTCCTAACACTTGTGATCACAAATTGTGACGAGTTCTACCTTCCATCCTTCGTCAAAGGAAGCAATGAAACCGATGAAAGAAAATTACAATAGATGAATGAAGATTGGGGTTTCTTGCCATAGTCGACAAGCTCCCTATGACAGACATTTTGTCGATAGAAGGGCAGGAGCATGTGCACTATAGTACTTCGCAGGGAACGCGAACCAGTCAGAAACTCACACGAATGGCTAACACTCGGAAATTTTAGATACATAACCCCATTTCAAGCGCGTTCATAAATCTAACTTCGGGACAGAAAATCGCCTTTTCTTACGATGAACCATTCGTTCGGTGAGTTTCCAAATGGTCTTGTGACAACATGCTGGATGGTAACTAAAGGCATTACACTATCCACACAATACACTACAATATCTTCCCCGGTCAGTCATGTCGTTGGTCATACGGTGACCCACCTTTTGTTTTCTTTAACGAGTTGAGTGAAGGAGTTTGTTTCGACCCCATGCGATAACTCAAGATACTGCGGTGAAACCACACACAAGTCAACCAACTTCTCTCCTTATTCTCAGAGGTCCACTACATTTGTACTCCCAGGAACCGCCAGATCAGAGACTCAGAATACATACAACCATTTGACGTATTACAAAAAGGAAAAGGTTCATAAATAAGACAAGGAAAATAAAATGGTCACCGCGAGGTATTCTCGTCGACTCGCTCAATTTGAGCAAATTAGTGACGCCACTGCTTGTCTCGGATCTATCACATATTTATCCCTTGCCTGGAGGGGGCGAGCCGCGGGACCCCCCCAGCAAGCCGTATTGTCGCAAATCAAAGATACGCTTTATATCGTTTCATTTTACTAGCAGCAGCGCTTCCCGGCCGCGAGGAGGCCCTATGGGTGTCCTATGGGTGCCCTATGAGTGTCCTATGGTCGTCCTGTGGGCGTCCTTTGAGCGTCCTATGGGCGTCCTTTCAGCGTCCTATGGGCGTCCTTTGAGCATCCTGTGGGCAGGCCGGTGGGGCATCCAGCGGCGTCACTCCGTTCGGCGACGCCCCGATGGTGGTGCGGCCTGGTCCAGCAGGGTGGCGGGTGCGGCCGGAGCGCGGCCGGGAGCGCGGGCTGCACGTCTAAGTCGCCTTAGATGATGGAGGTGATGAGTCGCGCCTTGAAGTTGACTAACCTCTCGCTGGTCTGGGCGAGACGCTGCGGAAAGAAAAAGGAGGGGATGAGTCACGCCATGGGGCACAGAGAAAAGAGGTATTTTGCAGGGACACGCACTAATGTTGTATTCTAGTCTACTAAACAAGGCCGCATCTTTGACTCACCAGGATGAGGTCCTGCACGAGGTTGGCGATGCCTCGGTTGGCGATGACGAACAGCCTGGTGATGGGGCCGGGGACACCCTCTTGGTAACCGTCGTCCTTGCCCTCCGCGCCGGCCGACGCGCTGGCCGAGGCCCCCGCCGACGAGGTCGATCCGTCGAGAGGAGCGTTCTCAGCCTCGTCTTGCGCCTGGGTCGTGCCGGAGCCGGCGATGAGCTGCGAGTCGCGGGGGAGGCGGGGCGTTAGACAGGCTCCACTTAAACCTTCCTTCTCTAAAGTCTATCAAGACAAGACTGTTTTTTTAAAAACCAAATTGAAGAGAGCACTGTGAAACGCACGTGTGTGGATGTCGCACACTTGTAGGTGTGTGAATGCCAATTCGCACACTGCAAGAAACAAATGTGAAGTTCTCTTAAAAAATTCACACCTTTGTGCCTCCACGGGTACGAATGGCGTTCACACACCTACTAGCGTGAGACATTCACACACTTGCGTTTCCAGTGAGGCTGATCGGCCGATCGGGTGCGTATTTCGACATGCATTACGTGGTTTGCGCGCCGCCAAGTCAGCGCTCGAAGCTTACCAAAAGCATGGGGCTCAACACGTGTGTGCACAAAAAACAAAAAAGTCTTGATGAAAGTGCATTACTGGATGCGATCGCAATTTCTTCAAGAACATCGTTACTTTTGGTAAAAATAATACTGACCATAAATCGTAGTTTTTCGAGCATTTTTGGAGAGTACTTTGAAAGAGAAAGGAAAGCACATGTATTCGTCAGAAAAGTCCGTGTCAGGCGAGAGTTATCAGTGGTCTGAGCAGGGACTGTCCCCCAAGCAGCCGAAGCAGATACGACTTGACATTTAATTTTTCCCTTTCTTTAGCAAAAGCAAGGTATTTGATCAAAGTCAGACTACAGCAAACTAGCAGTACTGCTGGGGAGAGGTTAAAACCAAATCTGAGGCACTCAGCGCCGCTCCCGGACGAGCGCCCCAGGTCCGACCTGTGGAAGATGGCAAGTAAACGTTCTCTGGAAGAAGCAATATTATTGAAAAGGTCGTTTTGTCCGTGAAGAATTAATTTCTTAAGCGTTGTCGCTGAGGCCCTCCATGGTCGCGGGCCGCCCAGCGCTGGAGCTACTCTCTGCCGTCGCGACACAGAGCCCCTGTCGGCGCGGGGTATATAAAGAGGGAAGTCCCAGAGCGCAGCGCGCTGCTTCCTACACCTTTCTCCAGTGGCGGCGGCAGGGGCAAACATCTTCCAGCACTGGAGCGACCGGCCCCTTTGCCTACCTTCCAGCCCGCGGGCTGTCTGTCGAACGGCGAGGCCCGGTGCGGCCGGTCCGGCAGGCAGTGATCGTGTCTGGAGGGCGAGCCAAGGCTTGTCATGTCCGTTGTCGTCCTACCGCGAGCTAAAAGGGGGGCCTCTCTGCTTTCTACAGACTACAGAGTGAAGTTCTGGTGATGCAAGGAGAACGTGCTGGCCGAGCAATATCAAAACAAAATTACGACCAAGCAAAGATGAGGAAAGTTCTAACCGTTCTTCCAGATCGTGCGAACTGGAAAATCTTTTCCGACCAAGGAGAAGGTTGGGGTAAAGAAAACTTATTCTAAACTGGAACGCTGCCCACAATATAAATGGCGCAGGAGCACCACACATATCTTGAAATTCCTCCTCAACTACTTGCGTCCAAAAATAGTGAAACAACATCCAGCCTACGATAACAAAAGCAGCAACAACAAACATTAACACCAGCCAGATCAACACCACAAGAATGATACATAGTCTGTTGGGCCGAGAAATGACGCAAAGAGGGGGAATCAACGGGACTCATCTGCAAGCCGCTGGTGAGGTCACAGTAAACAATCAATTCTCAATATAATGAGCCATGGGCGATTGCATTCCTCTTCTTCGGTCCTCATATGTCCTGGAGCTCCACGGCCTGGGCGGACATGACAGCCTGAGGCTCGCCGAGCCGACTCGCCGTATCGGAACTTGGAACCCACCAGCTGTCTAAATTATTTTGACAAGATAGACATTACACGAATTATCTAACGTCTGCCTCTAAAGACAAACAACCATAAACACACGTCCTTTGAAAAAGACACTACTCTACGGCTTGGCAGTGGGCGTTTCTTTTAGACAGCTGGTCATCCGGACGGGACGCTCGATCGGGGAGCTACGTCGCTAGCCATTTTACAATATCGTGAAGCCATGCTACAAGGAAGAAAAGCGAATGCACCTCAAAGTCAATACAGCGTGTGTATTTACAGTACCGTATCATTGGTGTGAGTGTTGATAGTAAAAAATCTATCTTTTCGATAATATCGTCAAAAATGATGACATATTTATCAAAATGAATTTCGCAATTACCAAACGGGGAACGAAAGAGTTGCCGAAACTGAAACTTGTGTTGATGTTGCTGGCACTGCTCTTGTTGTCATCGTTGCTGTTGTTGTTGTTGTTGTTGCTGTCGGAGTCTTTGTTGTCCGAGTCATCCTGTTGTTGGTTGTAAGTGGTGGGTATCTTGAAGCCGAGACCAGCATTGTCGGTCCCGGCCACCACGCGATACACCTTGCCGGTCACCCTCGCCGCTGTGTCGGCCATCCGCTGCAGCCACTGAGGACACCACAGCAGGCCGTTCACACTCAACACACTGAGCAGCCTAAAGGGGCACTCCATTCAGAGAACCCTCCCATAGTAGCCCCTATTCTGGTCAGGCAGATGTTGCACTTGCTATTGGCGACAAGTCCGTCAGCACGAAAGACGCGTGGCTCCATACAAGGCATCTAAAGTATCCCATATCTTTGGCCCCGAGCCAGGCTGCTTCTTTGGAAGCGGCCTGACTGATCCGTTGACTTAAAGTGAAAATGAACGCAAGCGGTAGACGTTAAAAAGTCAAAATTGATACCGCGTTTACTCCGAGCCAGCCATGCTGAGCCGTCCAAAACGAGTTTTACGAACGGCATCCTTGAGCCACTTAGGCGGCAGTAGTCAATATCAGGACTGGTAGAAGCACGAGCACCCCCAGAATGGTAGGTGCCGGAGAAAAAGTTTTGGTGCCACATAAAATGGAGCAGACCTCTCTCCTCTACCTGCCGTTACCGTATGCACAAAACAGTCCAGTTGGAGTCCAGTCAGTGGTGGTCGTCGCTGTCCGGTCCAGGATCCTGGCGGCCGTGGATGGCCACCCTGTGTGCTGCCCACGATTACGCACTCAGTCATGAAGATAAAAAGTGCGAAAACAAACTTCTGTCGTTTGTCACGATATTAGTAAAAAGGCCGAGAGAGACAGATCTAGTTGTGCATTTACAAAGCGACCAGTGAGTAATCGTGCACGCGCAGACTCCAGGGGCAGCACAGTCCAGCACGAGCACCGCTCAATTCACAAATTGAAAACTACAGAAATTGTCCTTACAGTAACGCTCAAAAAACGCAGGGCTGTAACATAAAGCGCATCATATTACAAAGACAGCAGTCGGAAAGCGATGTTCTTGGTCTTTGGTACGAGACTTATCACTGTCTGCTTTTAGAAAGCCTATAAGTGTCCTTTAGTTTGTCCGTCCTCAGCACCTCATGCGCCCGGCGCCCACAGATGAGACCCTTCCCCTCCCCCCAAGTCGATTCCACTCACCCGGATAATGTCAAAGAGGAAGTTGCCGGAGCCGCCGCCGGAGCCGCCGCCGGAGCCGCCGCCCGCAGCCGCACCGTTCAGGTTAAAGGGCAGGAAGCGCTTGTTCCTGTTCTCGTCCTCGACTGCGCCGTCAGCCTCGTTCTCCAGGTCGGCGGCGCCCTCGTCCAGGTTATCTGCGAGAAACGGGCATTATTCATACGACAAAGAGAGCCTCTCGGACAAATTACAATTTCAGTTCATTCACTCATTCATTATACACAGGGGCATGGCCGGCGAGCGGCCGCCAGGGCAGGGGAGGGGTGGGAGTGAGGGAGGGGGCGAGAGGGAGGGGGCGAGAGGGAGGGGAGGGGTCCACCTCGAACACAGGTATGAGGGGGGAGTTTCGCAAGCAGCAGACGCTGAAAGTGGAGCAGACAGCTTTGGCCTCCTCGGCCGGCCTCGCCAGGGCCGGGTCCAAGGTCGTGACCTCTGGTACTACGCACCTCCACTCGCCGCCGGCTTCAGGTCCTCTTCCTCGTCCTCGGCCGGCTGAAGGTTGGGCTTGTCGTCGAGCGGCACGCGAACCTCGCTGACCTGCGACTCGGCCCCGGCGAGCTGGTTCTCTGTTTCAGCCTGCAAAACACGACCCGTGTCACTGATCGCCCGGCGCTTTGTGTCGGACAGGAGAAGCGCGTTCAGTCAGCCGCGGAGACGAGGGGGACATGCTGCCGTTTTTAGGCCGTCCGCAGTTTGCGATCGGCTCTGCAGCTGACTGAGCGCCACACACACATCGAGCGAAGAGGCATTTTTACGATGTGGACATGTGGTCCGTCCTGGGGACCCACAACATCCGTTACATCGCGTCGGGTTACAGAAGAGAGAAAACATCTGTAGAGAGAAAGAGAGTAGAAGCGCGCACATGCTTAAGAAAATGAAGAATGAGCATGTTTCATGGAATGGTGGAAATTATGACAATGAATAGAAGTTAACTAATATATCCCTTATCTTCAACATAATAAGGCTACTTTTTACTTAAGCATATTAGTTACACGAAATGTAAAAATCGTCTAAACAATCTTTGTTATTATATACACTAAAGCAGAAAGTGTATCTACTTAAACACAAGGCAAAATAATAAGAGTAACTAATCTACAGAAAAGAGGTATAAGTAACTAATACGAACATGCAAACCCTCCTCAACATACCATCTGCATTTTATTCGACCACGCTGTTGTTAAATTAGGTTATCCAACATGCCGAAAACAACTTATACTAAATCTGAACACCATCCGCAGTTTTTTATATCTCAATGACTTTCGTGCACCGTCACTGTTAACTTAAGGGGTTACCTTTGAGCTACCATCCGCCTCAACATTTTAATATGGCCATACCATGCAACAGAAACTGCGACCAGGCTGTCACAAATTAAATAGGAAGATAAGAATTTTGTTGCGTTGAAAAACGTGGCAGCAAAAGATTGGAAGCGGATGGCATGCTCCTTACATGTGACGTGCATGATATTACACCCCTAATGGCGTAAATCAAATTTGTTGATTCAATTCGTCTAGCATTTTACGATTGATTGATGTTATTGAAATGCAAGAGGGTAGGGAAAGGAGGGTTTGCTTTTCGCCTTGTATAAAATTCCTAAAGTGAATCTACAAAACTGTTCAACAGTAGGTACGGGAAAAAAACATATCCAAGGTCACAGTACATAAGCAAGTCCTAAGCAAATAATACCCATGTGATTTTCTTTTATTCTTTTACAATAATAGTTAAATTCTTTATCCCCTGATTAGTTATGTACTGTGCCTTTACAGCATTTTGCCATTTTCTATGGTTTTACAAATGAGACGATCCAGTACAGTATTGGATGAAGAGAGAAGTACATGAGGTAATAATAAAAACAGAATTTTCTGAAGCACAGATATCACAAGCAATACACCAACACAGTAAAGGCTCTGCCTCTCTAGAAATGCAGAGTAAAATAGTTTATAATTAATAAATAGAAGTAAGAAAGTTGATACAAATATGATAGAGCAGTATGATGATTTGCATTGTTTAAATACTCCAATCATGTCAGTTTCTTCTCATTGTCCTTTTAACCGGTCGAAAAGACCCGTTATTTTAAGTCTGTATGGCGTCTTTTGTTTTCATTTTTTAAATGTGGAAAGTTCATCACAGGAAGGGTAATAGTGATGTTATTTGTCAGAGTAACTAACGGGGGGTTATGGGGAGGGGAATAGGTTTGGTATGGGAGTGATAAGTCATCATCTTATGTACAACTTAAAGAGTGATGCGCTTTTCAAGCATGCCAAACAGGGTGTCGCAAGGATCCAAGCGGCTTCCTACCTCTTCGAACTTTAACGATACTAGGTGTCAGTCAGGTGTTCCGTTCACAATCGCGTAAAACGTTGTTAGTAGGATACACAACGGTACTGCTAAAAAAGGAAAAGCTAGCACGATGGTGGTAAGCGTAAGAAAACGCGCTAAAGCATATATACAATATTTATGTACAAAAATTGAACCGAATGAGCACCTTGCCTCACGAGAAGAAGAAAGGAAGACGACCCGCGGTCTCAGAACAAAGCAGAACGCCTCATCAAAAATATCGTTTTTATTCGAAGTCACATCTTTCAAATCGATGTGTACCTAGTACCGTGGGTACTACAAACATAAATTTATCAAATAACGTCCACAAAACCCTTATTGGGACGATATTGGTATCAGGCTACGTTTCTGAGACCACGCTACGCTAGGCCACCATCTTTTTGTTCTCCTTACGGGGAAGGTGCTCATGGAAGAGCATTCGCTGCACTGAGAAGTGGGGTGCGACAAATTAAAGGCTAAGGACGAACTTGGGCTGGTTTGACATTTACCGCAAATACCAGAAGACATGGCAAACCTACTGGAAACATGCAAACGTACACATATTTTGCCTTGTATTGTGGTTTCGGCTAGTCTCTGAGAACTAAAGGAACTACTTTCAAGAGGAATCTTACAAGAAAATGCGCATAGAATGAACGACATTAATGACCATGAGGATGGAATGAGGACGATCGACCTGAATGATGACCATTTCCTGCTAGAGCACACATTCTACCCTATTTCATGCCATTGTGAGAAAAGTGTCCACGAAACACCAATAAGTGCAAAAAGGCGCACGACCTTCCCATAGCCATTGTGGCCGAAAGAGTCGATGAACAAACCAATAAAATATAGGGGGAGGAAAATAGAAAGAAGTCAAGGAAGTATGATGGCACCAGGTCACATGCACAGGAACCAAGTTAGTAATTCATGCGGGTATTTGACTGACATTTTGGCGTGTACACAATTTTTAGCGCAAAGGCTATCCACTGTGCTGTTATCAAAGACACCCGTACCTTTGGAGTTCTCGGTTGACCAATGACCTCTGGTTGGGAAGAAAACGCACCCGGCGGAAAGGAAAGATGACTTTGTACACTTTTGAAACCATGCATAAAACGTGTTCGTGTTCAGTATAGTGGCTCAGTCCGCGGGTACCCGACACCGGCCATTTGAAACGCGTTGACGAGTTCGCCTACGAGGACCACCGGTTTCAGTCCATGGTTTCCCTTTTCCTGTTTTGAAACATGGCCCGCTCTTCATTCCACCGAACGGTAAAAATGAGTTTAAATTACAGATATCCAAACCCGCCAACCATCTCAATTCTATATTGCTGGCCAATGTAACCCCCCCCCCCCTCCGGTCCGGGTCCCGCAGCGCCGAGCCACAGTGGTCTGTGTGCGAGTGTCTCTGTGTGTGTATCTTTACCGGCGTACTGGACTCGTCCGAGGGGCTGGCCGTGGACGCGGCTTGCGTCGAGTCTTCGTCTTCATCCTCGTCTTCGTCGTCTTCGCCGGGCGGGTACGTCGGCAGCGTGATGGACACCTTGCGGCCCGACGAGGACGACGACGAGGCGCCCGCCGTGGCGCTGTTGCCGCCGCCGCCGCCTCCGCCGCCCAGGACTAGCCGGCCGATCACCCGAAACAGCGACCGGGTGATCTGCTGGATTTTTCTATCGACTATCTAGAAAAGAGCGGGGGGCGTCCATGACACACACGCACACGCACACACATACTAGCGCCCAACCTCACATACACGTACACTCACACACGCACACGGTATGTACACTATGATACAGGAGACTGTCGTCGAGTAAAAAAAAAAGGAGTGAGATTTGAAAAGTCTTTTGTCAAATATTCGAAACAAGGCAAAAAACGTTAATAATCTTTCTTGAAAACATTTCTTCTTTTTTCAGGGAGAGTGTCCCAATAACGACAAGGGCCCCGTGCGCCTGCTACGCGGCTCTCGCCACGCCATTGTACTACTGGTTGTTAATTGGAGCAGACGCTGAATGGGCAGCCCGGTATGGCGGCCCGGTATGGCTCCGTGCCGGCCGCGACGCCCCTGGCTGTATAGCCGCTCGGCAGCGCGCTCAGCGCCACACCCTGGTCGAACTTTCGCTCAGCGGTGTCGCGGGCCTTTACTCGAGCGGCGCCACGCCCGTCACCGCGCGCTGGCCGGACGGTGCGCCGACCAGGGCCTCGCGCTCGCCATGAGCTGTCGTTATGTCAGACCCCCGCATCACTTTGCGCTCCTCTCTACTATTGGCTCCAAAGCTTCTTCTTACTTAAAAAAAAAAAAACGCCAAAAATAATTTATTTTCAGTTTTAACGCCCGCCACGTTGGTCGGCGTTTTGGCGGGCGAATTAGGCATCGGCCCCACACGCTAGGAACATCTTCTTATGATAATGATAAATCTGTGACAGGAGTCGAATGGTTCAAACCCGCATTGACTGTTCCCTCGGCCGTGAGGAGCTTGCTACCCGTCTCGCGGCCCGGGAACGATACATCCGCCAAGTTGTACTAAAAAAAAGTCATAACGGAAAGGTGAAAAGTGAAACTCGATCAGCAGGGATGACATCTCGTACCTGTGAAAGGCCGGGGAAGAGCTGCCTCAACGGTCCGATGGTCCTCTTGTCCCTCACCGTCGTGTCGTCCGACCCAGGCTCGCCCAGATGTAAGGTCTCCAGAGTCTCCTAGGGGAAGAAAATAAGGCACATTAACGATACTCATATGTTTCCCGCAAGGTGTTTTCTCGACAAATGACAGTAATACGCGTGTTAACAAACAGAGTACACAATATACTGATGTACAGTCGAGAAAAAGTTAAGATCACTTTTATTTCAGTGTACCGTCACCTGAAATTGTGCGGTGTAGGCAGCTTTGCCATTTCCCCAAGTATTTTCGTGGATTACTTTTCGTGCGCTTATTTCGACCTGTCTTGTCTAACAGAACAGGTCACTAAAAGCCCCATTAAGGACACGGCAAAAACTGGTACCCTTTTACGGCAATAAAGCGACCTCCCCCCTCCGTCCCTCACTCAACCCCTTCCCACAAAAAGAAACCCTTCATCAAAATGTGTCTGACATTGCCACTAGCCAGATGCCACCCGCTCAACCCTACATTCGACGCTCCTGACGCCTGACGAACGGAGGATAGGCCGCCAGGTCAAGCAGCGCTACGTTGCGTTGCCTACCAGCCAGGCGCTCCAATCGAACTAGCACACTTGCGCGCGCACATGTGTGCTTCCCTTACATATGCAAGTAGTCTTCCTCTTGAATGGATATTTATTATCTGACTGTCACCGTGCCAGAATGCACCTTTTTTTAACTATTTGATAATGCCTGGGACTCTTCCTGGCTCCTAATCTAGGTAATGTTGAGCTAGGTCGGGCCTGGCGTGTGGTCAGCCCAGGATGTGTTGCAGCTCTCCGCAGCGGGGCGGGGCGGGGCACGGTGCCGTGGGGCGTGGTGCGGTGGAGTGACCTTGCCGGTGCTGACCAAGGGGGCAAGGGGGGGCTGGGCCGGCGGCGGCTTGCTGCTTGCGGCCTGGCTACCGGCTCTGGGCCCGCGGCAGCCCGCGCCAGCCCGCGCCAGCCTGCCCACATACACACTGGCCTGGTTACGCGGCCCGGAGCGGCCCGGGCCGGCCAGTGCAATGCACCGTGTCCTAGTGCGCCTGCCTGACCACAGCGCCGGCCGATGGAAGCCCCCCCCCCGTCCACCTCCTCATCCACCACCTCCTTCTCCTCCTCCTCAGGGGCCCCATCGTCAACCGTAACACCTCACAAAAATGTATCAAACGCTTTTGTTTAACATGAGACATCTATGGTATCGTACATTACGCGTGGATGCGAAAGAAGTACGTTGCACAAAACGAGAGAGTGCACCGGAGGGGGCGGGGAAGCCACGGATGCACCACCAACACTACTCTTGCTTTAAGCACGGTGTCCACCACCGCTGGCGTGCCAACTTGCAAATGGCTTCAACTGGAGCACATTAGCGAGCGGCGCCCTCCCCCCTCTCTCTCGCTCACCCAGGGAATGACTTTATCATCTTCCGCCAGGATGGGTGCAACTTTTAAGGCAGGCTGAATTGGGACACGTTATTGTGACACCGCAGCCCTCCCCTTCTCCTTCCCCCCAACTCGAGCTAAGATGCACGCACTTAGCGACGCGCTGCGCCCATAACTTACAGCGTGCACGCGGCTTGACACCTTTCGCACGGCCGGAGCAAGTCCGGGAAGCATCCAGCGCGCGCGGGAAAAGCCACCAGAGGGAGGGACAGCCTCAACTCGACTAGTGCGAGTGCCCAGCAGGTCGCCAAGGAAATCATACGCTTACACCGCAAAGGGTTGAAATGCGCGTCCTTCAAAGTTGAAGAAAATATTGATGATACGCACACTGAAAAAACGAAGGTAGGACTCAACACCCTTTAGGGGTTGCTAATGGCTTTAGTGCCTTAATAGAGCAAATATCACTACCCCTAGAAAGACACGAAAATGCCACAAAGATGCCAAATTTTTGCACCTTGGGGCAATATCGGTCCTTAACAAAGCCACTAGGTCGTACCTTTCTGTTTTTCCAATACACACCTTGATTTTTGCACTTTTTTACCGATTAACGAGCCTCTTGTACGTGGGTCACAGTACAATTATTATCATTGTTGCTAAATTTAAAAGGTACCAAGTCACGTTGTCTTTTTCCGACCACCCTTTTCCCCCCCAAATCCCAGCAGCAGCAGCGGCGGCGCGGTGCAGCGTGCGGTTTGGTGGTTCCCTCCGGCAGGCCAGCGGCCAGCAGCGCCAGTGTGCTCAGGGTTGCGTCACGCATTACCACGCAAGACGAACCGGCCGGCCGGCAGCGTCCACCGCGGCGCAGCAGCGTAGCGCCACCGCGGCCACGCCAGAGGCCAACGTTTGAAGACGCGTTCGGCAGCGGGGCGCCGCGCGGATAGCCACCCGACAACAACCGAGAGAAGGGGGAACGGTCAGGCTATCGTGTTACTACAACTACAGTCATTACGCTAAAATTT